GGCTTCAATCGAATAGCAGTAACCGGATAGTTCACGCAGTGTTTGAGCTATGCGTACTCCGGAGATTTTCGCAGAACTCTCGCCTTCTTTATTTTATCATCAGATTTTACAAACAGACTGTGGTCTAACTTGGTTATGTGTCACTTGCTAACCTACCCTTTATCGTCATTTATAAAATTCAATGATCAATAAAAAATAAAATTCCCATCTTAAGTAATTCCACCTATGTTGTCCATGCCAGAATCTGCCTACTCAAGTCTGTGACGCCTGGTGGCAGGAAATACAGGATCATACAAACATTATGTCGCCAGACGTCTCTTTAAGGCCTGCTTAAACTGAATAATATGCATTATGGGTTTCAAAATAAAGTATAAGCTACATATTTGGAAATTGTGACCCCTTCCAGGTACTCCAGACGTATAATGGGTAAAAAAGCCCGAGTTCCTTGACAATGTGAAGGCTAGTATATTTGGCATCTAAGATAACATAGCTCAGCTTTAATGGACGAGACACATTTGAAGTATAATAAAGTACAAATTTTCAAAAAAGACTTGAGTAGATGGGGAAAGTCGCTGGAAGAAGGAAGGCAGGACCCATAGCAGCATGACAACTGATACCATGTCTACCGGACTCACATTTAAATCAGTGGAAATGAATGTGCATTACTGGACCGCTTGATAGATGCATAACAATCGTGGATTGATATGTTCTGCAGACCCCACTGTTGCTGCAAGAAAATAAAATGAACGATTCCTTATTCCAAAAAAGCACGCTCCCATTTTAAGTACAAGTGAGACTTTCGAACTCACGACGGCGGAAATACAAAAATGTACATTGCACCATCGCACAAGCCGAGTTGGTGTCCATTAGAATTAGGGAACGGGGGAGGTGACGTTCGGACTGATTTCGGATTGGTTCGTGATTGTTCGTTAGTTTAGACGTATTTTAGGAGATATGCCACCTACTGTGAACCTGATGCGGAGTTGAGGGGCTGCTCTCGGTGTGAAAACACCATATTGAATTCGTTGCCACGCACTGGAAATTTTATCAATTAGTGATCGTAACTGCTCTCAATTTCTGTTGACTGGACAAAAAACATCGATTATACAGTACCCCAAACGGTTTCCGATACCTAGAGGTTGTTTGACATTAGTATACTGTAATAATAGAAGATTCCAACAATCTTCAGTTTTCCTCCAGGGCTTGAGTGAATCACCGAACCCCCGTGCGTATTTTCCCCGCCTATACATTTTTTCAACCTACGTGGTTACTTCTAATACAGTCTGCAATAAATGACATATTTTCGACTTTTTCGTTCACTTGTGAGGTGGGCTTCGCAGCAAAGACAAATGAACATAAGACCCTGACTACTATACTTTGAACTTGTTAGAGTCAATCACTAATATATTGTCATGCATTTTGGTGAGGTTTCCATGGCTCGTTACTGTGTAGGTTAGACCAGGTGGAAACATTTTTACTGGATAGAATCTGAGGATGCTAGAAGGACTCCTGAACGGTTGGCCTTATGCTAAATTCCATGGGAGGCGTGACTCCGACCCGCCTAATCCTAACCATGATCCTAACCCAGCTTCATTCCCAGTCCTGACCTTCCTAACTATAACAATAACACTAACTCTAACAATAATACTAATCCTAGACTTCATTCCGCCTGACATTTCGCGCAAGGCCACCTGTAGTACGGGAGGTCCGTATTCCCTTGCCCTGTCAAAGTTACTAGATCTCACCAACTTTATGTTTGCGTAAGCGGTGTTTTATCGGACGGCAAACGATGAAGAACGAAAATCTCCACGGAAAAATAATTTATGGAAATCATGATGCTTTTTGAATACTGGACACCATTGAAAAGATAACTAGCACTGTTCCCAAGCTTTTATTGGCGGTCCTTGCCATATTCGTAGGTTTTGCTAGATTACAGAAAACAACGACTGAACCATTTGAATTTACGACGGTGACTCCATTTTGGCCACTGGACGGGAATTACGCTGTGAGATTAGATGACACATCGGAATGCTGTGCAGTGGCCTGTCCTACTTGGACGAGGGGAATTGGCATTTCTATTTCCTTTGGGTCAGAGGGTCGGCAGTTCATGCAGGCCGTCGTGTTGACACTGACAGCCACTGCATCGCGTGCTGCCGACCTCACCTGGCATGAAGTGAGCCTGTGCTTTGGGAATTAAAGCTATGCTCGGCGGTTAGTTGACCAGAATTCACACATTAGCTTTCTGGGTAATGACGCTAAACAGTCCAAAAATTGTCGCTTAAACGTCAGCCAACGTCGTTGAAATTTTTATTTCACGTGTACTTATTTGGGGTAAAAAAATGATGTCCAGCTCTCGATTTTAGAAAATTGCATTTGGGTTATGTGCCTATAACTGGGATCCACTTAAGTCCAATTACTGAACAGACTAAACCGGGGAGGTTTTCCTTCTGCGTGAAGCTGGGATCAGAAGCGAATGCTAGAACCTGAGTCTAAAGCAACGAGTCAGGGAAAAATATAAGCAACGGTGACGTTTGGCTCTTATTTGGTCATCATATCCTCCAATTAAATTAGGCAAACCATGCCTATCTATGTATATTTTTGCGTTTTCAAAACCCCCTTCGGATTTTGGTAGACATATCGTCTAACAGGCTTAAATAATGTAAACATAGGTAAATACGGGTGATATTTGGGAAAAAACTGCGTCCTTTATATTTCTTATCTCATTCGTTTGCGGAGTGCAAAAGGGGTTACTGGGCTCGATCCGGAAAGCATTGCAATACACTTAATCTAAAACGGCTTCTTTCTATCTTTATACTTGTTTGCAAAGCGACTGCTGACGAGTCAAGCGAACAATGTTATTCAAAATGCATAGCACCATCTGTCTGAATTCGTCCTCTGAAATATGCGAGGAACTAGGAGGATAGCCTGGTGGAGACTGTAGCATTTACTTAAACAAAAGGTGGCTTCACAGGTATAAGTTCAGCCGCACTATGAGCGGAGCAGTGTGTTGAGGCTGAGACTGACTTCAGTCGGCCAGTGGTTATACGAATTTTTGGATCAGTTTCGTCAACTGCTCTAAAATGCGTCTACTAAAGAAGTGTTACGGTACCTAAGCTGCTGCCCCCCATTGTGGATAAAATTCATCCAATGCAAGCCTTTCGGAAGATGCATTAGTCAGGATTTTTACTTACAGAGTGAGATATTCCAGGCCCAGGAATATGCTGTTCATAGGAATTTTGGGGGCGCTCCTGGCCATCTGGACGCAAAATCTGGTTATTGGAGTTTTTGTGTATCTCTAATAATCCTTCGTTCCAAACGATAAAATCAATAACATATACATAATCTGCCTTTCAAATCCATCAGTTACCAAATTCTGCTTTTTAATTGTTGTTGGTTTCCTGATTTCTCGCTGACGTCTGTAGGATTCTCCACTACCTTTAGGGTGATCCTTGATTCGACGCACACTTGTTCCCGTTCGGCATCCATGCGGGACAGGGAACCAGCGCACCTCAGCACAGTTTCGTCTACCGGGTTGGTGCCTGAGCCGGCACTCTATAAGCACAAACTGAACATTCCGGCGCCGGCAATCCGCGAGGTCTGGCCATGTTGGCACTCGGAGGTCAACCCATCGCAACGCGCCACTTATACAGCGCCGGGTTCTTAAATGCAACCACTCAGAAAGAAGGCACACCACAGTAAGGCAGTTTTTCTTACCTCCTCTGTCTGTCTCCCGTCCAACATAGCAAGTGATAGCACACTACTGGGGGAGCGTAACATCTTTTTTGCATTTTCGTAACAGTCAGCCGGCCTATTTTGTCAAATTGCAGCACTCCCAATTGTCTTCCACGCTGATTTCGTTATGGCGCCTTTGATCTTCTAACAGTTTAAACAGTCTGACCTTGGGAACTGCAGGTTCGGTCATTACTAATCAGAACGAACCAGGTGTTTCTCTCGTTGCTCTTTTTCCTTATGGGTTCTTAATTTCCCTTCAGAAATTTCCCCCTGAGGAAAACCAGGCCATTCGAGACTTACAGACTCAGATTGAAATTTGCTATGAATATTTTGGCCGCGGCCCGACAGTCACATCGGAATAACGGTAGAATATTCATAATCTGCCAACAGGTAGGTGTGGCTGATGGACTTCGACCCAGATATTCCTATCGAATTTCAGTCGAAGTCTATCAGTTTCAAATAGACTGATTTACTCCAAGTTAGCTACTGGTTTCTGAGGGAAGAGAAAGTCTGCACTTTCAAAACTGGAGTATCTACCAGGAAGCACACAGGGAACTTTAGGGGACCCATTGCTGAGTCGAAGGCCTCGCAGATGTGTCATGCAGCAGCGGAATGCAGACGGAACACGCGTCTGGGCTTTAAGATAGTGCCTGTGCTGTCAGATGGGGTATCTAGTGCAACTCTGGGGTGTAGGGGGTGTCAGCGGTGGGTTCACGTGATGGTCGTAGTGGTCGCTCACTTGCTTGCAGGTGAGACTACGCCTAGCGTCCATTCGCTGGCACCCAACTCTCACCTGTGGCTCCACGTAGCTGGGCTCTGCTCAGCGGCCACACCCCGGGCAACCGTCTCGACCGGCGGGCTAAACCAGGTGAGGGCGCTGTGCGCTTGTGCCGCGTGCACAGTGTACTGCGGACTCCGCTGGATGGATGGTCGGATGAAACACTGCGCCGGCATCGTCAAGACGAGGCTCTGCCTGGTACGCCGTTGGATAACTGCTGCCGGGACGGGTCTCCGCATCGCCTTCGCTGAGACGCGCCCACCCTCGCCGACGGAGACCGCGGCTTACGGCGAATTCGAGTCGCTCTCCACTACGAACATAAAAGTCGTGGCCCCATAGTGGGATCTGTCGCGCCAACCAGGCACATGGGCAGCCCGATTCAGGGGCGGCACTGCCTGCCCCCATGAGGGGAAGGGCCTAGAAAGGGTGGCCTAAACATTGCTGGGTACCACGCCGTCTCCAGGCTAGCCAGGGCCGCACACGTCTAATCATGGTCGAAACAATCAAAATCGAAACAACAACAATACCAATAACAACATCAACCATACTCCTTTTCCTCATCCTACCTCTTCTACCTCTTCCTCTGCCTATTCTTCTGCCCATTCTTCTCCTTCGTCACCTTCTTCTCCATCTCCCTCCCGTCGCCCCACTCGTCGTCACCAGACTGGCAGGGTGAGTCCGCTCACTCTGGCAGCCTGGAATGTTCGTTCCCTTTTAGACAATCCGAGGAGCAACCGACCGGAACGGAGGACGGCGCTAGTGGCACGAGAACTGGCGCGCTACAAGGTGGACATCGCCGCACTTAGCGAGACCCGATTCTCCGAACACGGCCAACTGGAGGAGGTGGGTGCCGGTTACACCTTCTTCTGGAGTGGTCGACCCAGGACAGAGCGACGAGACGCGGGCGTCGCCTTCGCCATCCGGACCGACATCGTGGGACGACTGCCCTGTTTGCCGCAGGGAATCAACGATCGCCTGATGAGCCTCCGTCTGCCTCTCTGGCGAGGAGGCAAATTCGCCACCATCATCAGCGCCTACGCTCCGCCGATGAGCAGCCCCGACGCCGCCTCAAGAGACAAATTCTACGAGGACCTGCACGCCGACTTGGCGACTGTGTCGAAGGCGGACAAGTTGATTGTCCTTGGCGACTTCAACGCCCGCGTCGGCACAGACCATACTGCCTGGAGAGGAGTGCTGGGTCCCCACGGTCTACGCGGCTCCAACGACAACGGCCTGCTTCTCCTCCGCACCTGCGCAGAACACCGCCTCATCCTGACGAACACGTTCTTCTGTCTGCCGGAGCGAGAGAAGGTCACCTGGAGGCATCCTCGGTCGCGTCAGTGGCACCTGCTCGACTATGTCCTCGTCCGAAGGCGTGACCAGCGGGATGTGCTGGTGACGAAGGCGATCGCGGGTGCTGACGGGTGGACCGACCATCGCCTCGTCATCTCGAAGATGCGTATTCGCCTACAGCCTCGCAGGAGACCCCAAGGTAAGCGACCCCCAGGTAAGCTGAATGTTGCTTTGTTGTCTTTGCCCTCTCATCATCTTCATTTCAGCAATGAGCTAGCTTAACGGCTAGGCAACCTCACCATCGCCGATGCCGCCGCTGCAGAGAACGCCTCCGTGGAGAACCGCTGGTGTCAACTGCGAGACACGGTCCAGGCGACGGCGCTCGCCGTCCTCGGTCGCGCTCCCCGCCAACACCAGGACTGGTTCGACGACAACGACGCCGCCATCAGAAATCTGCTTGCTG